CAGCGGAGTGAGATTTCTTTCGTGACGACTGCATCGAACAATTTTAATTAACGCATTCGTTGGAAGTTAAATTTACGCTCGTGTGCACAGATCAGATAAACAATGTTGCTAAGTAATATGTGTATTACGTAGATATGTACGTTAACCGGATAATTATTTTCATAGTTAAAAGATCAAAGTGTCGTTTAACGCGATTTATATCTATCATTCCTCTTGTTTTCATTTCATTATCGAAAAAGCTTTGTATGAGTAATGCCTCTATTAAAAGACAAATACTAAGAAAAGAAATTGGCGCGCACGCGTTTTTCCACATTAGTCATATTTATATTTCATTGAAAAAAGATAGAAAAAAAAAAAATTGTTAACAAATAAGAAGCATCGTTCGTTTTATTTTTTAAACATCATCGAGAACTAGGGAATTTTTCTCCTCATTTTCTCGTTATGCCGAAGTCGTTGAAACAGAAATGCTAATCGGCTTAACACGGTCCTGCCAGCCGGCCGATGATACACATACTATCACTCCCTGCATGTATATACGAATGTATACGTGAAAATATCTGAAGAGAGAAAGAGAGAGAGAGAGAGAGAGAGAGAGAGAGAGAGTAACAATTCACAACATCGACCCATCCAAAACGCTGCTGAACTTTTCGAAATTACATCGAAATGTTCTCTTTCACAGGCCGATCACAATTTTGTCGTTCCAGTTATCGATTTTTTGTCTTCCTTTTTTTTTTACTTTTAAAGAGGTTAGAAAGACACAAAAGAGGCATTTTACTTTTTCATTTGATAATTCGTTATTTAAATAAAAGATCCATCGAACAAAAATATTTCCTCAAAATTTATCAATCTCGTTTCGATGATATAAATGCGTGTACGAATAATGTATAAGAGTAAAGAGAAGGATAGATAGATAGATGGAGAGAGAAAGAGAGAGAAAGAGAGAGAGAGAGAGAGAGAGAGAGAAAAAGAAAGTTTCTCTGGTAGTTTCCATGTTTCGTCGAAACAATTCGAGTGGTAATACTAATCGGCTTTACCGAAAGCTTCAGGACGTTCCTCTTGAAACGTTGACACAAACCTGGCCGATTTTCACGGAAATATTCTCACCGCAATTGTTTGAGAGTATTAACGAACGATCGGTGTCGAGGAACGCCTGATGGATTCGTCCTTTCGTTTCCAAGGTCTGTTAAAAAACAACGTTTTTTTATTTTGTTGCAAAATATTTATTATTACACCCTTTCGCAACTATACGCGGCAACTATAGTCGCTCTTCATAAAATGATTCGTATTTTACATACGACGAGTGTATGTTGTATTATGGCACATCAAGTATCTCTAATTCAAGACGTGTAGTTTTAATGTATTGTTTCTTTCGAACAAAATATAATACCCTCAATATCAGCAAAAAAAATGCCTCAAGAATCAATCCAGCCCGTTGACGAACGGTGCTGTTTTGTTCCTGCATGTTCAGCAGGAAACACTATAGTGGAAAACACGGTCGTAGAACGAGAGGCTTAACAATTAATTTATCTTTCATAAAATTTGCCTATACCATAGTTATTTTAGTAAACCCTTCTAGGAATTACAGAAAAGAAAAGTTAAACTAGCCTTTTTCATGCTGTACCAAGATAAACATAGCAATGAATAAGTTCTGTTATACTATTCAAAGTTCTTTATTCGGAACTGACAATGGTTAAAGATTGACATTTTTCTTACCTTTTGGAAGAAAAGAAATAAATTTGAAGATTTTTCTGAGATATAAAATATCATCCGTTTTTGCTATAATATATTTCGGTCTCTTTGAATTATTTTCAAATTTAATAATAACGGAATTTATTTATTTCATAAAATTTCTACGTTAAACGGACAGTATGTATAGTAAGCAGGAATGTCACAAATGTTTCGTATATTTCATAGAATAACCTCGTTAAACACATCGTCCACAACATATACACCGACGGAAGAAGAATACGTGCTTTATAATTATAAAAAAAAAAAGAGCCAAGAATCTCTCATACATAATGCGATAAATCGTTAGTAAATTATTTCAATATTATAATCGTTTAATTATTAGTCTATAAATTTTTATCCCCCACGTTTTAACTTCATTTCCGATCGAAATGATATTGCTTTTCAATGATTCGTAGTAATCCTTCGAGTCTCTATTATACGAAAGTTCTTATTGATATATTTGAAGCAAGTGAGAAACTATTTCGTTGATGTTTATGCGGTACGGCAAGGAATGTTCTTCAACGTTATCATGGTTTTGTCACCTAGATAACGAGCAGCCATATACCTGTGTCGTCATCGGTTGGTACCGCCGGCTGTGTGTGATGTGTATGCAACGAGTTGCACGAGAGTTCACTATCTCTCACTCAATTTGAGCCTCATCCGGCGTAAGCGGATCGACCAGACTGGCCTTTTAACGTCGGATAGCCTCGGCTCTCCTGACTGTAAAGAGTGTGTGTGTGTGTGTGTGTGTGAGAGAGAGAAGAGAGAGAAAGATAGAGAGAGAGAGTGCATAGATGCCTATAACAAACATTATCCGCCATAATGCTCCCGTGTAAACATACCTACCTATGTGCATCTCACCCTATATAGAAAATATTTCTCTCTCTTTCTCTCTCTCTCTCTTATCTTGCATAGTTCGTTCGGCCCTTTATTCACAATCCGGATAAAAACGTCTTTTTACGTTCATCTTTCTTTCTCCCCCTTCTTTCTTTCTCTCTCTCTCTCTCTCTCGCGAGAGAGAGCCGAGTTTGTTTAACCGTTTAACGTCTAACGGGAAGTTAAGTTTCACGGATAAGTCGGCTTTTTAGCATGGTTCTCCTCTCTTACTTCCACCCTTCTTTCTCTCTTCCTCATCTCTTCCGGTTTAGCACGCGACTGACTCCTCTCTAACCCTCTTCTGATCCACTAGAGGATCATTGAGTGGTACCCTTCTTTACGACCTTGGTTGATCCTACGAAAATGTAATCGACTTAACGGCGCTAACACTCTTGCCAAGAAATTCTTCTCGATCTTTAATCGCGATCGGCCGATTCTTATCGTTTTCACTCGTGTTTTCAGCTTCTTCTTCGACAGTTGGTGATACCATTTTCTCGTTTCTTCTTATTCTTTTTTTTGTTTTTTTTTTGTTTAATTTTAATTTTTATTATTTTTAACTCTTAAATCTTGCTAATAGGGAAATTTGGTATTGCGATAATAGGGACAATTGGATTTGCTTTTATTCGATAATTGTTTCGATTGTCGAGGGACAATCATTGGGATCATAAAAGTAAATGGTGTGATAGGATTTTTTGTTCGGGTCAATATGTTTATACGATTTGTTTGGTATTTTAACCGCTAACACTAAGGATAAGCCGGATTTATATTAGGTTTATAGTATATCTACAGGATTTCGTAGCACTTCTTAAATAGTTTATCAGATTGTAGAAGATTAAAATGGATCCTTCGAATCTCTAAATAAAAGAATTACGAATGGATTTAAAAAAAAATATATATATATTTTTACAACAGAAACTTATATTAGATGAAACATAAAATCTATTGCATTTGTAACATGCGATATAGATTACCATGTTATTTCTGTTAAAATGGGTGGTAGAATTCGTTAACAGTATTACGGCCTATTATATATTGCCTATTGGCTAAATATATTGGCCTATTCGCCAATAGATTTTTTTTTAGGAAAATAACTCGAACAAAGAATTTGTTCTCAAGAACGAAGGGACCCAATGATGGTTCTGCCCATTGATGTATACCTGCCCACTTCTCTCTCTCTACTCAATTCTACTACATAGTCCCCACCCCCGTTTTTGAATAGAACTGAGGTCGAAAGGGTCTAGAAAATCATTTAAAGAACTTCAGCTCAGTCCAGTTTAACAGCGACTTTTGAACTGGCCAGACGTATATAAGTCAGTGTGTGAATCCCTAAAATCCTCTAATATCCGTTTTCCTTTACTTTACTTCTCATTTTTTACTTTCCTTACTATTCCTTAATTTTGTCCATAGTTCAACAGCATCCTTAACTCACTTATAATTTTCTTCATTTCGATTCTCCTTTAATTTTCCTCCTTTCTTTCTTTTTTCGTCATATTCGAAACAATATTAAGAAGAAATAAAAATAGTGCGATATTATCGATACCTCTATAGAATCCCCATCCCCGTTTTTGACCGAAAGATTGAAAGGGGTTGGAAGACCATCGTAGAAACTTGTTGCTACGTACGTAGTAGCAGTAAAAGTAAGCCTATTTGACCATATCAGGAGTATACGTGTTTGTTTGTGTCTTCCCGTGTCGAAAAAACTTTCAAATTTTAAGTAAGTGGTATTATCAATCGTGTTTTCAAAACATCTTTCTTAGTACGGAAGTGATTTTTCCAACTATCCATCCTCCTCTTTCCATTCAGAGAAAGAAACTAAAGTTGTGATTCTTTGGAAAATTATAAAACAAATTTAATGCAGTATCCGAAGGGAAATATTTTGGTGAGTCTTTTTATACAAACGTTTATTAAGCGCAATCTTAATCTGCTATTGTAATAGTCTCCTTCGTTGACAAATTCGTTCAGATATTTATGAAACAACTTGTAAACGAAGCTAGAAATATTTCAACTTGTATGTTTATTAATAATCGTAATAGTAAAAAGAGAATTATCATCTTTGTATCGCTTAATCGTTTATCTTACCGAGATATTGCGATTGGTGAATCCATGCAAGTTTGGATTGATTCATTGAGATCCGACGAGTTCAATAAACTTAAATACAGTTTCGTTATATTTGAATTTGTCTTTTTTTTTTGGCAATTTATAAGAAATCACTGTTACAAGTTTTCTACGTGATACAAGTATATAATATGTTACCGTGAAAGACCGAAATTTACCATGTGAATCTTAACATTCTCCAATTTTGGTTTTTCACAATAACATATATGACCTTTATCAATTGTATTTAGAAAGAAAAAGAAGCAAATGAAAAAGAATAATAACAGTAATTTTTGTAATAGTTGCAGGTGGAGGAGTTCGTGATTAGCGACGAGACGAGCTACAAGTATCCTGTGAAAATAGAAAAATCAGAGTTCAATATAACTCAAGATTGTAACAATAAAGATTGTTTTTGGTACGAGAACAATAGAACGGACAGAAGGATAGAATACGTTGGCAATTGTGGAAGTGATAGTGATAGTGGGTGTAATTGGAAAGAAAATAACAATAGCAACATTAGTAGGAGCGATAACGAATCAACGGTGGCGGGTGACCTGGCTTGCCTCGCGGGATATATGGCGGGGKATTTGAAGGCAGCGGGTGCCACTTGTACCCCAACCGGAAGTCATCAATACCACCCCCACAGTAGCGCTGCTATGGCATTTGGAACGCATCCACATCCACATTCTCATCCGCATCCTGGAGCTGCCCATTCAGGGATATCGACGCATTTTGCTCTTGCTGGTCACGGGCACCCCCATCCTCACCCGTTGGAACATAGCCTTGCATTTCCACAAGGTAAATTTCTTTTATCATTTTTTTATCTATCATACGATTTCTATTATATCTGTCGCATTCGAAGCGTTTCACAACAGGAATATATTTTTCATCAGAAAAAGAGAGAAGAATTATTGGTATATTATAATATTGTGTATTTATTTTGAAATTTACTCGATTCAGGAAAGTACCGCAAGGTGACACTACCTACCTGCACGTGCACGAAACACCTTTTTTTCTTTCCGAGTCGATTTAATTAGACATTTCACTTTTGTTTATTTTTTATTTAACAATCTAATATTTCGGCATGCATATGATAATATGTGTTTGGACGATTTAATAGTAATCAAAGTCTCGCGCCCTCGTAATAATAAATAAATCCAATCGTCATTCCGTATTGGCTCGGATCAGACCGTCCGTCCGTCCGTGCGTCCTAAAGCCGAAAGACACAAATCATTCGACATTAGTCCGATCTCTCTTTCCACGTGCTTTCGTTGGCTTTCCTTTCGATATTAACTCTTTTAATAGCATCGTCTGGCATTTTGCAATCCAAACATCGTTCAAAGGCTAATACCATAATATTCGCTGGTGAAATGTCGCGCGTTCTTGTGCGCCGTACGAGAAATTCCCTTTGTTCGCGATAGAAGAGCCATTATTGATTGTCATGCAAATCGATGCATCGACTGAAGCCTTAGCGGAGTCTTCACGGTAAACTCAGGGCTTCTTAACTATAGACACTCGGTCTTTCGTCGTTATGACTATACCGATCCTTTTCGAGGACACATTTCTCTTATTTTTTCGCTTCTTCTCTCTTTTTTCTTGTTTCTTCTTTTTTATTTCGTTTCTATCAAAAAAGTGGTAATAAATCCTACCGACTCTCCCCGCCCCTTTCTTTATATTCGGTTGGTAACTAAGTGATTGCGGATTTTGTTCGATAGACAAATCACATTTTTTAATTCAGTTTTTTGATAGCAAAGGTCAGAAATTTTATGAACGTGGAATTATGACACTGCCTGACACAATGGGAACAGGTCATCGACAAAAATTGACAGTACCTAATTGAATGAAGATATATTTATCAATAAAAATTTAGAATTTTCCTTTTTATTTAAAATTTGCAATCATTTAATTGCTAACCCAATATTTTCAAACTTTCTTTTTCGGGGTATTTTCTTTTATTTTTTTCTTTTTAAATCTTTTTTAAGAGTAACGCAACGGAACTTGATCAAGGAGGACGATCGCAGTGTTATAAATGTGTGTAGGTATATACATTATGAGAGGATGATTTCTATTGCCACTAATTGCACTATTTATTTCATTTGTTTATTTATAAAATCAGACGTACTTAAATCTGAACCTCTGAACACCACCGCCGCCCTCGTAGAAAATTATCGTACTCGGTATTTTCTTATTTTCAACAACACGAATTGTACGAAAACGCGTATCTCGATTGTCCTCCTTGTATATAGGCTTCGTGAGTAACGCAATCGTTAAGAAAACATAAAGGAACGTAAAAAAACGTAGATACTATGATAAAAAAAAAAGAAAAGAAAAAACACGTCCAAACATTTGTATTACCTTACAATAGATAACGGACCGAACTCCGATAATATTAAATGATATTTTTTGACGATACGAACCGTAGAAGAAAAATAAATTAGATCGGTAGAGGAGAAGGTTATAAAAAGATGAAAAGAAAAGATAGCAGCGCATTTCCGCGTACGATTTCAACTTCTCATCGTTCTTGCGGCATGATTTTGTGGAAAGCAGCAACGTCGTCGTCGTTGTCCTCTTCCTCCTCCTCCTCTTCTTCCTCCTTCCTCTTCATCGTCGTCGTCGTCGTCGTCGTCGTCGATTTCACTCTCTTATTCTCTCTCTCTCTCTCTCTCTCTCTATCTATCTCTTTCTCGTGGCTTGAAAGGGTCCTAGGAATAGGGGGKGAGGGATGCAGAAAGAGAGAGAGAGGGAGAGAGAGAGAGAGAGGAGAGAGTGAGTACGCTTGAACGAAGAAGAGCGGAGAGAAGCATGAGAGTAAGCCGCTTATCAGGGTGGCAGCAGGCAGTATAGGTCCAACCAACGCAGATAGGTGGGTTTCCATGGAATCACGGATCTGTCCGTTAGGACCCTACGTACCTACGTCCAGCCGCCTATCCGGTGTAGGCGTATCCGCTACACGAAAAGCCGACGAACGACGGAGACGCCAAAGAGAAACGCTAAAGAGAAATAGAGAGAGAGAGAGAGAGAGAGAAGCTAGATCGTTCGCGTATTTGTGTAAAGAGAAAAGATTTAGGGAAGGAAAGAGAGTTCAAGAAAAGTAAAAATAAAAAACGTAAAGAGAATAAGGGAGAGAGAGAGATGATAACTGGCGGTAACACAAGTCACTTAACTTTTTTATCGTTTGGAACATTCGCGAGTTGGTATTTGTAAGTTGGTTGGTTTATCTGGAAAAAAAAAGATCGTATAGATTTGGAAATGATTCGATGTGTTTATTTTTGTATAAATACATTGTCATATTATATAATGTTGTCATTGAATTTTTGATCAAAGTTGATAGTTACGGGTTTCATTTGGTTTTTAATGTTCGAAAGACAAAAAGTGTGATTGTTTGTGTGTGTGTGTTTTTAAAATAAGAAACGGAGACGTGAAATAGAGTGGAACGCTATTCGTCAACTGAGACGCGTGTACGTGAGAAGGCTATTTCATGTTTAGCGTTGGGAGAAAAGATGTATAGGGATGGGGTAGGGTAGGCGTCGAGTATCAATGTTTATTTTATTATGCAGTCGCGTATATATAAGGGTCGTGAACCCGACGTTCACTTTGGGAAGTACGACGATAGCTCGAGGCATGTAAAAAGGGGGCGAAACGGGACTGAAGGGCTGAATATTGAAACGTTAGAGTAACGAGCCAACAATCGCTCGATGAGTGAGTGTTATTTGAGATGATTGGAAATCTTCGTTTCCACATACTAAAAAGTATTCTACAAATTATTCCGTGGTATCTTACGATTTAATTATTTTCATTGTCGTGATTTTTAATCGTATTTACAATTTTGTCAACATATTTTCGAACATATTTTGATAATTATCGTAAGAATAATTAGAAATTCTTGTAAAGATATAATCAATTCGACTCGTAAATTAGTTACGATTTCGTTCCGACGAAAGTTAGTTCAAGGGGTAAAGAGGAAAGAACACAAGGAGTCGAAATCGGGTAAACGTTAGGAGGGTAGTTTGGTGGGTGTTACGTGGGAGCCTTGTCACATGTCTTTTTATTTCTCTCTCTCTCTCTCGGTCTTTTCCCGTTGGATGACAACTATTTGTTGTCACAGAGAAATTGCCTGTCCTTTTAAGATCCCCCTTTAATTCGACATCCCGTTAAAATTTCTGATTTTTATATCACGTAGAACATATAATAATATCACCACTTGAAAGAGTAGAAATTCGTGAAAATTAGGAAACTATACTTGAAATACTTTCAAATGAGATGAAATTGAGGCGAAGGGAATTAAAAAAGTGGAAAGATTTACTGGTAAAATCGGTGGAATATTTGGATCGGTCAATTAGGTCTCGGGTTTAGGGGTGGCGGCACGTGGCGTTAGCACGTGCACGCGTCGTCCTTTCGAAGTGGCCGCAAAACGTCGAGGAGGAGAAAAACCGTGGAGGAAGAGGAGGAGGAGGAGAATGGAAGAGGTAGTAGCATAAGAGCTCTCTTCTCGCCGACGGCGCGTGTCACCGGCAAATTGAGTAGGTGGACTTGCGAGTCTTTCGACGATGAGATAGAAAGAAAAAGAGAAAGTCAGAGGTGGTGATGCTTGGGGTTGGAGTTTGGGGGCGGAAAGAATGAGAAGGAGAAGGAGGAGGAGGTGGAGGTCGGAATCCAAATACAAATCCGGGATCCTAATTGCAGGATAAACACTCGAAGCTGAGTGAAATGTCACGTATACCGACATTGACACTCGCCCTTAAAAAGAAGACACTTCTCGTTCGTTCCAGTTATCTTATTCTCTTACTCTATTTCACACTTGGATACTTGCGACTCATATTTCTCATTTGCGAAATATTACATTTGTTACGGCTAATTAGTTTTACGGAATTTTCGTGAAACGTTCGTTAACGTTGGTTATACATATTTGAATGTATTAAATGGTAGAACGTTTGGCTGGAAAAGGACACTTTCAAGGAGGACACGCGTAATGCGAAACTTATCCGATTATATTCGCTTGTCCCGGATGTGTGTTGGTATTCTATTACTTACTTATGCTTCTCTCCCAGCTAGATTATATCGAGTAAGGACGTCCAGACACGAAGGCCACACGCGTTCCTACTTTTCCAAGCTAATTTTACGATCATCTATCTCTTCTTTCCCGTTATTAACCCTTCGCATTATAAGGTCGTTGCTGGAAAGATAAAACATTATTTTTACTTACAATCTAATCATTTATTCTCTTTTTGATTAGTTAATCAAACATATATCTGTGTTAGAGAAAATAAATATTATTTTCAAAACAGGAAGCGAATAAATGAGACATCAAACGTAAATCAAATTATTATCAATCAAAATAAGATAGGAAAAATAGTTGTAATGCAAAAGGTTCATAGTTTCATTTCTTTTTTTCGTGAACACTCCAATAGAATAGAAAACAATGAAGTATCGTTTGAAGTAAATTTCGGTACTTTGATTTTATGGTAGTCAGGATGGTGTATATAAAAGTAAAATGTTACAGGTGTTGATAGTGGGTGTCCCGATCGATTCCCTTTTAGTTACAATTCCGTTCCGGTCAGGATGTAAACGTAAAGTCGGCCAAATGTTTTCATAGCTGATGGCCTTTTAGGAAGCTTCTCTCTTTCTCTTTCTCGTTCTCTTTCGCTATCGTCAAGCCACGTGCTGTCATCCCACGGTACCCTGAATAATCCATCTTCCCTACTACTACTGCTATTCTCATTCTCTCTTTCTCTATTTCTATCTTTTTCGTTCTTCTTTTTCTCTTTCCTTTCTCGCGTTTTAGCTTTTAATTAATTTTCGATTTTCTCTCCTCGCTTTGGCCTCGTCACTTTTCTTCAAATCTTCTCTCTTCCATGAATACCAAGATTTAACCTAAGAAAGAGAGTCTAGTCCTACTCATCATTATCATCATCATCATCATCAGAGCAGTTTTTGTTGGTCTTCCTTTTTGTTGGTCTATCCGACGATTACGAAATCCTTCCTAGAAAACCGATAGCCTTGGCACCCTCGAAAAGACTAAGGCAAACTTTTACATCGTTTTATAATTTGCATCGAAAGAGGATATACCCAGCTATCGCGAGAAATCAGCGTGAAATTTCGCTTGGCGGTCCATTGACTTTCATCCCACTTCGGGTGCCACGAAATACGAGACAACTAGGATGAAGATGATGGAGGAGAGGGAGCAAGTAGAGGAGGAGGAGGAGGAAGAGGAGGAGGAGGACGTCGACAGTCAACGAAGGGAAAGAAGAATCCAATAAACAGAAAACGAATTTGCTATTAGGGTCGCGACTGATCTCGTTGTGGGCCCAATGAGCCAAAGCAACCCTTATACCAACCCCCGGGTAGGATCCTTCTCGTTCTCGCACTTGGACGATAATAAATCGAATCATACTCCTGGACGCAGCGGGTGTTTGCCGAGACATTAGGGTTGCTTAGCAAGCTATCTCTTTCCAACGAAATCGTCCTCGGGACTCTTTTATCGACGTCAATTCGATTTATACCATTTATATCCTAAGTGAAGCGAATCCCTTTACATTTTCTCTCTCTCTCTCTCTCTCTCTCTCTCTCCCTCTCTCTTTCTCTCTCTCTCTCTCTTTATTTGTAACTTTCAAAAATGATCCGTGATTAAGGTCGTCGCGATCTAAATTCACGAATGAATTTTTTGAAAACTAAGGACATTCTAATCGGTCCTACTGTTCGCCACGACGAAAGACCATAATCAGAATTCTATTGTTTCGAGCGAGGATAAGAAGGAGTCATTCGCAATAGGGAGTTCAACTCGTAGCCTGGCAAAGACCATCGTCAACGGTAGCAGCCAACGCCCACTTGACAATCAAGCATCCTCTTTTCCTTCGCGTTCATCGTTCTTCCTCTCGGTCTCTCTTTATTTCCTTTCCTTTCCTCTCCTTTCCTTTCCTTTTTTATTCCTCTTCTTCTTCTTCTTTTCCTTTCATGCTGTTTCCTCGTTGCTCCTCCTCCTCCAATTCTGTCTCTCTTTCACTATGGAGAATCTTAGTTGGTACAAGCAAGAGATAGAAATCATAGATCCGAAGTGATCGCAGGCGTGTCGCGTTCGTGACGAGCAACGACGGTAGCCAAGCACCCGTGGAATTTGTACATTGTGACCGGCGCAATCTACTCGTTAGATCTCGTTCGGTAACCAAATGGTAGGCCCACTCGACCAGTTCGTTAGCCGATACCACGTAGGCATCGTCATCTTTTTCCTTTTTCCCTCCCTCTCTCTCTTTCTCTCTCTCTCTCTCTCTCTCTCTCTCTTTTTCCTTCTCTTTTGCTTCCTCTCGTCATCATCGGTCAAAAGTACCAATACGTTACATTCAACTTACAGATATTTCGGTTGCCGAACGAGCAAACAATGCTTTAAAGCACTACGACCGCTCCTTCTTTTTTTTGCTTTGTAATACCTTCCTAATGAAATCGTTGTTATTATTCAATACTTTCTTGGTATCCTAGTACTCACAATCACACAGTATACTTTTAAAATAAGTCTTATAATAAATCCTTAACTAAGGAATCCATTTCCAAAAAATACATTAACCAAGGTAGAGAGAAAGAGAGTAGGTATATATTTATATAAACGAGTAAATAAATGTGTGTTAACTTTTGTAGTCTACCGGATAAAACTCGACCGAACTTTACGATCAAACTCGACGACATCAGATGTTTATTGTTTTTTTGTTGTTGTATTCTTTGACTGCGGCATCCATGTTGTTGTCCGTAGATGTTCCTCTCTAGTCCTCGTCGTCATCGTCGAGCAGGCAGCTGGAGAAAAAAGAAATAGAGAGAGAGAGAGAGAGAGAGAGAAATGGTCGCGACTTTGGTACCTCTCTTTCTCCCGATGGCTGTATATATACTGTAGCGAGAGAAAGAGAGAGAGAGAGAGAGAACAGGAGTGTACCCCCTCGTAGTCGACGTTCCACCACCCCAGCGGGCCCCCTTTACTCCTCTCTCCACTGTTCTCTTCTCCCCGGTGACCCCCTCGTAAGCGGATTACGTGGGTCCCGAAACGAGCCAAGCGAGGCTCGATGGCACAAGGAAGGTATAGCGAGAAGGGAAGAGAAGGGCAGAACGCCCGCTTGGAGGGAGGATGCTGTTCAAAATTACGCTATCGCGGCCTCGCAACGCTCTCACACCCCACAAATGTCGTCCCCCTTTTCCTTCATCTCTCTCTCTCTCTCTCTCTCTCTCTTTCTCTTTCTCTTTTTCTTGTTCTCTTTCTCTTTCTCTTTCTCTCCGTGTTTCTCTGTAGCTACGTCCAACGACGTCGATGATCGTTTCTCTTTTTTTCCTCTTTTTTTTTCGTTTTATTCCTTCTTATCCACGAAATTCGTCGATTCCGTCTCCTCTGTTCTGTTCTTCTATCCAAAGTAATATTCTCTCCACCATTTTGATTTCGTTGCATCGTTGCTGTTGGAATATATGTAATGCGTAACGCTCGATTTAAAAAAGAAGATAAGTTTTGGGGCAATGATTTATTCTTGATTATAATCCTCGGTTTATTTTCTGCATTTCAGGTATGAATCAGCGCAAGCAACGACGCGAGAGAACGACCTTCACGCGTGCTCAATTGGACGTGCTGGAAGGTCTCTTCTCGAAGACTAGATATCCGGATATTTTTATGAGAGAGGAAGTTGCCGTTAAGATCAACTTGCCTGAATCCAGAGTACAGGTAATTATTGAGTAGTTTTTATTTATCGGGCGGACGCCATTTTGGTCTCGGCGGATGAACGGATCGGAAATTCTATCCTTTAGAGAAAACCAAAATTCCTGATATCTAACGTTCCTGTTAATTGAATTTTCGTTAGTGCAAACACAAAGTTATTATCGTTAAAATGCTAAGTGAAATGGAAGCAAGAAATCAAATGATCGGTTGATGAAATGAAAGAGAGAGAGAGAGAGAGAAGGAGAAAGAGAAAGAGAGAAAAATGGAAACTAGAAGAGAGGGTGTCTGCACGAAAAAGAATAGAAAAAAGAAATGGAGTGAAGAACACTGCGTGCTCCGGCAAGCACAGACGAGATTTAAGGTATTTACACAATGCGGTGTCGCGTCCCACGTTCTTCCATTTCGCCATTGTCCTAAAGTAGAGTAAGGCATTACTACACATTGACAGCTATGCCAAAGAGCTCGTTGACGCTTTTATTGCGGTCCTCGTAACATCTCCATTCCACGACGGGGTGCTAACAGATCGACTTACATCGACTTTCCAATCGAAATCACAACGGGAACTTATAAATTCCCGCTATTAAAATGAACACGTTATCAAATCGAATTCAATTTATATAGATTTCATTATGAAACAAACAAAGTTATTGCTTATTATTAAAATTTACTAATAATTTTGATTCAAATCTCTTACTATTAGTTTTGAATTTATTGATTTTTATACAAGATTTTTATATAACCGTAAAAGAAAATGACGGAAATATTATCACAATTTTCGGAAATATATTTCTAAATAAATAATTATCAATGGAAAATTATATAAATCTTTGGGAGAAATTAATTTTTTATAGTTTTGTGAAAAACAAACTAGAGAGAGAGAGAGAGAGAGAGTAAGTACGTTTCTCGTCGCCGCCATATCGTAGGATAGAGATAGGACAAAAGTAGAAACACACGCAGGCACGTACGCATGCACGCACACATATCACACAGCGTGGAAATTCGGGTGAGCTAGTTTCCACGCGACACGAAGTTAAGCCTCCGTGAATGGAGGGCTCCCGATCAAAAAGGGACAACTCGCACGTATTGTACATATGTACGTGAAACACGCGATTCTACGTAGAGAAATAGTTAGAGGAGGGGTGAGGGGGAAGGGGGTGGGAGAATTTGTTGGCGTATAGGCATACACGAAACGTAGACAGTATGATCACCTTTTCTAGGCGTGTACCAATAATATTCACGTATGGGAGGGGTCTCTGAAAGTTTTCGATCTCAGTGGGGGAGGGTTTTTTGATGCAACCCGAATAGCTGTTGCTGCTACTACTACTATTACTACTGCAACTACTACTGACGTATAGGGCATATAGAAAAGGATACGATGTGCGAAGCATAGTTTGATTTGTTCCTAGATTATAACCCCTCTTCCTCCATTTCTATTCTTTTTCTATCTCTCTTTCTCTCTTTCTTTTTTTCTCTTTTCAACGTTTTTTTATTTATTTCAATCTTCCTCTCAGGACGGATAAAAAGAAACCAACGATGAAAAATAGAGAACGAGAGAAAGAGAGAGAATTGCAGCTGCATTAAGAACGTCGCTCTTCTTCCGACTATTTTTTAATTCGTTTTCAATATTTTCAATTAATTCGTAAAATTCTATGAAGGATGATCGAAAATGTCAGAGGTGAAAATATATAGGAGGAAAGGAAAATGATCCATCGCATAATACGTGTAGGTGATTTCGATCGGTGTTGGTATTAAAAGTGCAAATAAGAAAATATATTTGTCATAACAGAGTGTTAACGCAGCTGCGTCCCCCTTCGCTCTCTCTCTCTCTCTCTCTCTCTCTCTCTCTTGGTTGTCGTCGTCGCCGTCGTAGTTGCTTGACCCCCGTAGACGTATGGGGTCGGTCGGTTAGTTGATTTTCCTTCGCGTTGGATATAAACCAGATGGTGGTGCAATTTGCACCTCGGACGTGGATACGCGAGTACACACACAAATATACACACACAATACGAATAGACAAAGAGAGATATGTAGAGAACGCAAACGATGATGGTGCGTGTCGTGTGGTGCGATCGTCGCTCCAGGCTATCCTCCGGATGCCACCGTTGCTCCTTCCGTTGCTTGTTGGGGTAGCAAGCTTCTGGAAAGGGGGTGTCGTTGTGCAAACATAGACCGATAATGCCTCTCTCTCTCTCTCTCTCTCTCACTCTCTTTTTCTCCGTATCCCCTTTTTCGACCCTTTGACTCTTTTCACTTTGAAAGGCGCGATCATTTTTCCCAACTTTGACAGTCGTAAACTCATCGCGCGCGAAGGATCAGTCATAAATTTCTCGAGAAAAAGAAGAAAGAGAAAAATTCGTAGGATTCGTGCAATTCGTCAAACACTTTTTGTTTTCTTTCTTTCTTTTTCTTTTTTTTTTTTTTCTTCATTTTTATCAACAAACGCAAATTCTCGCAAATCGATCTATTTCTCATCGAAGTTTCCACCTTTAAAATCCGGTATGCAGTTGGTGGAACACAACTGTTACAGTAGCGTCGATAATAACAACAATAATGACGGGTCCTGTTTTTAAAGGCACGGGCATAGATTCATAGGATCGCACCCCTAGCCACATTGTGTGTTAGGATTAGAGAACAGGCCATGGCGAGACGCGATAGAAAAGAAGAGAGATAGACAGAATTTGCGGCCTGCTAGGGGATGCTTTTTGTCCCACCTACCCTCTCTTTCTCTCTCAACAATTCTGAAACCAACCCTACTTTCGAGGATCGTTCCTGGTCGAACGGGAGTACACTTTTCCGAGGGCGTACACGTATACACATATATTTGTACGTACTCGGTTTGTTTGTTGTTGTAGTAGTCACGTCACACATATACATGCGTACATAGATTCCCAGTACTACAATATATATACATACACACCGTTGTGAGAGCGTACATTCAGGAGATAGGTGTACATATCTAGAACCATTCGATCTCGCCACGGGGGTTGAAAACACCCCTTGCTCGCACGATTCGGGCTTTGATTCGCGCATGCGTGCCGGCAAACGACGAAAGATCCCAGGGGATGATGCTCCTACGCGAGTTAGTATAAGTAAGAAAGAATGAGAGAGAGAGAGAGAGAAAGAGATACATGCGGAGGACAAGAGAGTGCTGGCCCCCTTCTCGAATCCCTGTTATTGTTGCGATTTAATGAAATGTTACGCCCGTCCGCCCGCGATTACTTTCCCATTGCGCCGATTAACTCCCCATTCGTCGTCTACCCTCGCGTTCACCAAATACGAAGCGTTCCAGGCTCGTTTCCATCTTCTTTTCTTGGTACGAAAATCATCCTCCGTCTTCTACCGTAGAAGAAAAAAGGGTCCTTTTCAAAGAGAGGGAATCCTCCAATCTCTTTGGATGTATTTTATTTCGAAGTCTTTTAAAAAAAATCTTTCTTTTCTTACTCTATTTTGCAGGTATGGTTCAAAAATCGTCGAGCGAAATGTAGACAACAAATACAGCAACAGCAGCAGCAGCAGCATCAACAACAGCAGCAACAACAAAATTCACCTAAGGGTTCCTCGCCGAGAGCTAATCAAGCGCAGAGCAATGTTAATCAAAACGGTAAAATGGTGGCGACGACAAATTCGTCCAGGCAATCCAGCCGACGTTCCTCGCCCGTTTCCCCGCCACGTGGCCGAGAAGCTCCAAACTCTAACTCACCTTTGTTACCGACGAGCTCTTCTTATCCTCGACTTGGTCTGACTCCGACCGGTGGCAGTGGTGCTAATAGTGCTCTTACGACACCTTCTCCTCCGCTGACACCTGGATCGAGTCAACTGCCACCATCGGCCTATCCTCTACCGATTAACCAAATACACCACACTGATTATAGTTTTGCGTGGAGTTCTGCTACGCCCGCATCCGTGAATCCGAATCCGGTTTATCCAGCGCAGACTTACAATGCCTACTCGAATGCGTACGCTACCAGCGATTATTATCAAACTCAAATATCGCACATGCATCCTAGTCCACAGGGTAACTATCATCATGCACAGTATCACCATAATGTGGCTGTTAGCTCACCGTTATCACATCTAACCACTCAGCAGCATCCTCAGCATCATCCTCAACATCAGCAGCATCCCCAACACCATCACCAACAGCATACACAACATCCCCAGCAACATACTCAACAACTTACCCAGCAGCATACGCCGCAGCATTCCCAGCAACATACGCAGCATACGCAGCATACCCAACAACATCAACAACCACCTACCCAGTCCAGCAATAATGAAATGACCAATGCTAATGGTGACGCTGAAAACGAAGCTTACGTCCTACCGGATCCTAAATATTCACCGATAGTATAGCGCTCCACTAGGTCCTCAGGGATCTTTCATCGTGGACAAGAAATTATCGGGAGCGTTCCTAATTCATTAACGGCATCATCTTTGTCTTCACCATATCATTGGCGTATTAACAATGTACCTATTTGTCATGAAATCAATGGGAGCCTCGATTCCTCCGATGACAATTAATTCAATAATATTTTGCTCGATAATTTATCCACAACGGATTTAAATATTTATAATTTTATTTTTATATCGTTTTTTTAATCTCTAAAGCAAGAAGTCTTATCTTTTCTTTAAAAAAAAAAAAAAAACAAAAAAAAAATGAAAAACGAAAAAAAAAAACAAAAAAAAAGTCCTTCCAAAAAAAATCAATAGACATAGTAAACCCTGGTATCTTTATTGTTCTCTGTTTCACGGATCTAAGAGTTTCCTGAACTTTCCTGAACAATAGTTTCAAATTTACGAAAGCCACCGATCAATTCTTTTTTATTATTAACTTTAGACTATTTTACACCTTTTTCGATACTAACTCTTACAAATTACTTGGATCTCATTCAGCTCTTTTTTTCCTTCTATTCTAATTTTACTTACAATCGAATTCTCTTTCCCTATTCTCTTTTTCAAATCTTTCAATAGCTTCATCCATTCCTACCATTGCTCATTTTCCATATCCATCTTATTCCTTCCTGATATTAATATCATCTCTTACCCGATTCAACTCTTTCAATTTAATCGAAAACCTTTATTCGTTTCTGTTTCTAACTCAATAGTTTCATAGTTCCTAATAACATTTATAAACTCCGAACACTGTTTTACGAAAATTAACGCGAAAAGGTTTCGTACTGATCGATAACATAGCATAACTCAGAGGCTTTTAACAATGTTATTTTACACGTGTCTCAGCTGTTATACTTATTTCTCATTTCAGTGTTTTTCCTTTCATAAAAGGTGTATTGAGATTTCCGTTTAAATTTAATTATTACGATTCATAAAACATATTTGACAATAGATGAAAGAGTTGAATTTCCATAACTAATTTTTTTTAACCCTGTCCGGGACGAGCGCCGGATATATCCGGCATCCATTTAATGACCTGTGTCTAAGAGTGCCGGATATATCTAGCATCCATTCGATGACCTGTGTCTATGAATGCCGGATATATCCGGCATCCATTCGATGACCTGCGTGTACAAGCGCCGGATATTGTGTTTAACATTATTTTTTGTAAAAACAGTTCTTTTTTAACGCTTTGGAAAATCTTCATAAAAAATCTTCATACGCGTTATGTGTACATTTTCGCAGCAGGAGTGTCACGGCAAACAGAGCGCTCGTATCGAAAGGGTTAAACAACGACAAAATATAAAACGAAAGAAAAGAAGTCAAAGAACAATAGAGACAAAATATTAAATATTTTTTGAGAAGACGTTTTAACTAAATTATTATTTTTAAAATACCTATAAAACATTATTTAATTCAACTGTCATTCATTTCAAGATATCAAAAAATTACCTATGTAAAATTACCTAACATAAACCTAACCTAACTTAAAATTACCTAACCATTTTATCGAAAATAATAGGTTGAAATTAAAAATTGTATTCATTTGTTATGGGGTTCAAAATGGTTGTAGGGTGTTCAAAAATCTACAAAAATAACGAAGAATAGAGAGATGAAAATAACAAAGATGAAACATTTCAATTTCATTAATAGATAAATATTGTTTTCACCATAATGTGGCTGTTAGCTCTTTGTTATATATATATGAAAATATATATATATATG